TCCTCCCACTTTGTGGGGACAATCCCCATGGCAGCTTCTATACTTTGCCTCAGCCTGGGCACTGCCCCCAACCCAGGTACCCTCTTAGCTGGGTCCACTATCTCCTGCAGAGCCGAGGACATCCCTCCTGCCCCTGGCATCCAGGCCCCCTCACTGTCCCTAGGTCCCCCTCCAGGTCCAGCCCCAGCACTACCTAGCAGGGGCCACACAGGTAAGGCTGGGAGTGGGCACACTGAGGTTGGCAGAGTGCTGGGAATGGTGGTGCCGCAGGTGGGTGACACTGACCCTCCTCTGGCTCCACAGGTGAGTCCCGGACCTCAGGAAGCCTGGATAGCTACCTGGACAACATCTTCGAGCCAGTCCTCTCCCCAGGCCTCAGCGTGAGTGTCCTGTACACATATCCCACCCCACCCCTGCCCCTACCCCTGCCCCACTGGGGCCTCTGCTGCCCCTCCCATCTCCCCCAGGGCTCTAGCTCTGACCTTATGACCTATAACCTTTGTCCCTTCAGGATCTGGAGCAAGTCAGGGCTCTGAGCAGCCGCATGAAGGGAGGGGGCTCCATCGGGCCCATGCAGCAAGGAAGCTACCCCATGAGTGAGTATGGGGCTGAGCACCCATCCAGGGTTTGCCTGGCCCAGCAGCACAGGCAGGCATGGCCTAGGACCCCTAGATCTGGGGTCAGAGCTCCAGCCAGCACCCTGGGCCTGTACTCTTCGCCTGGAGCTGGAGGGAGGTGATCCGTGGGCCCACATAGGGACCAACCTGGAGGGCCCTGTTCCCTCAGTGTACCCAGGGATGATGCAGATGCCTGGATACCAGCCGGCTATGATGCCTGCGCCCATGCCCATGATGCCAGCAATGGGCGGAGTCCCTGCCATGCCAGGTAAGTCTGGGCTGGGGCACTGGGTTCCTTTTCAGGCAGGGACTGGAGGATGGAGGGTCCTGCCAGGGGCACAGTGGGCAGAGGGCTTGGAACTTGGCCCGGGTGCTCACCTGCCCTGCCCACCTGCCATACTCGCAGCCATGGTGATGCCGCCACAGCCACAACCACAGCCCTTGCTTCCCAGCATGGACGCAAGGCAGCTGGCGACTCAGCAGCAGAACTTCATCAACCAGCAGGCGCTGATCCTGGTGAGGGTGGGCAGGGCTCCCAGATTGCCTGGTGGGAACAGGTCTGTGGGGTGGGGCCAGGCCAGCTCTTACCTGGCACCCCTCTCCTCCCCCTCAGGCCCAGCAGATGACTGCCCAGGCCATGTCCCTGTCACTAGAGCAGCAGACACAGCAGCTCCAGCGTCAGCGCCAGGCCCAGGCAACTCCAGCCGTTGCCCCCAAGCCCAAGAAGCCCCAAGCCCCCCGAGAGGAGCCAGAACCTGAACTGGAGCTGGTGGGTGCCTTCCTGAGGGTGAGGAGAGGCTAGGCAAAGGGCAGTTCTAGATGGGCAGCAGGTTCCACAGCTGCAGGGATGAAAGACGCAGGGTCAAGGGAGTGGGAAGATGCAGAAAAGATGCTATCAGACCCCAGTCCCAGGGATCGAGGGATTCACTGTGAGAGTGGGAGCTTGGCTGGCAGGGCTGTTCCCTGATTTCCCCTTCCTGCCTGCATACCTCGCAGGAGACCTCGCAGGAGACTTCTCAGGAGACCTCGCAGGACGAAGGCAGGCACAAGAGCTTCCAGCAGAAACGGAACTATTTCCAGAAGATGGGTGAGGGGACTTGGGGTGGCAGGCCCATGGAGAAGTTCCGCCACAGCTCCAGCCTTACTAGGGGACAGTGGGGCGCACTCCACTCCCCTGGGTCTATGTGGCCTGTCCAGGAGCATGGGTGGGCCAACCAGATGGATGTGACAGTCAGGGCCATCTGGGCACTTACAGGGCAGCAGCAGATCAAGGTGAAGATGGTGAAGCCTCCGGCCAAGGTGCAGATCCCCCGAGGGGAGGAGCAGTTGGAGGAGCAGGAAGAGGAGGAACCCAGAGCAGGTGGTAGGGAGATGGGGAAGGGCCTGGCTTTACGGTTTTGCACAGGGTCTCACGCGTTTCCTCTCCTCCTGGTCAGTGCCATCTCCTCCGGCCCCAGTAGTGAAGAAGCCACTGACACAAGGTGGGACCAAAGCTGTACTGAAGGCTGAGGCAGAGCCGGCCCAGGAGGCGGAGCCTGGCCGTGGTCCCAGGCAGGCGCAGGGCAGACATGCAGTAGAGAGCTCGGACCGCCCGAGCCAACCTAGCAGGGAGATCCGTAACATCATCCGCATGTACCAGAGCCGCCCAGCCCCTGTGCCTGTGCCTGTGCAGCCGACCAGGTGGGCCTGGGGTGGCTGGCACTGCCCACTCCCCAGGGAGAAACCCTGCAGACTGCTGACCTTTTCCTCCTCTCAGGAAGCCCCCCCAACCTTTCCTGAAGAAAAACAACCCTAAGGACGAGGCTCTGGCTAAGCTGGGGATCAGTGGTGCCCACTCGCCCTCCTCGGTGAGGCCCATCCCGTCCCATCCAGGGCACAGCTGCTCTGCTCACAGTCCAAGGCTCTCAGGGGTCAACTTGGCCTTCTCCCAAGACACAGCTTATGTTGTGTGCATTCTCTATCGCCTCCACAGATGCTGTCCCCCAGCCCAGGGAAGGGCCCTCCACCGGCTGTGGCCCCTCGACCCAAGGCCTCACCACGGCTCAGGACCTCCAACTCCATCAGGGAGAAGCAGGGGCCCCTTCAGCAGCTGTTCGGCCAGAACCCACCCACTGGCCATGCACCCCCACTTCCACCAGCACCCCCACTGCTTCCACCTGGGGACTCGGCGACCCCTTCAGCTGGGCCTTGTGGTAAGGAACCCCACGACCCCATGCAGTGGGCTTCCTGGGGTAGGGGCAGGATTCCCAACAGCCTCTCAGTGCTCGCTGGTGGCTGAAGACAGCTGCTCTGGCTTCTGGACTTTGGAGCCCCAGCTTCCGCATTCCCACCCAGGGCAGGGCCCAGATGCCCCCGTGACCTTTCTGGCACTGAGGAACTGTCACACACAGGGTGTTGTCCTTGACTCAGAGCTAAGAGCTCTGTCAGAAATTTAATGCCCCTACTGATGTGGTCACAGAGAGCCCTGGAATGTCAGGGACAGCAGGGAAAGTCTGAGGCAGGAGATGGGACTGTGGGCAGGGACGAGGCAGCGGAGAGTGAGCGGATGGGCCTCTTAGGGCCACAGGGAAGTGAGTATCTTCTCTCCCTGAGCCCTGTCATTCTGGCTCTGGCCTCTCCTCACCGACACCCTCGGCACCCCCCTCTTCCAGGCAGAACAGAGCCCATGGGGGACCAGGGGATCAGCACCCAGCTGCTCCTGCCCTCTGGCAGCGTGTGCTTCTCCTATACCAGTGCGCCCTGGAGGCTGTTCCTGCGCAAGGAGGTAGGCATGAGCGCAGGCCGCAGCCTGGCCTCTGGGTGGGGAGGGGGTGGCAGGCTGTGCAGGACCTAGCTGGGGACCCCAGCATCTGCTTTCCCCACACACAAACACAGGGAGGGGCTGCCCCGCGACCCACCTCTTCAGGCTGGTTTTCTGCCTGCCTGGGATGCAGAGGTGGGGCAGGAAGGGGCTGCGCAGGGGCACCAGGTCTGCTCTCGCTCACCCATGCCCTCCTCTAGGTCTTCTACCCCCGGGAGAACTTCAGCCATCCCTACAACCTCAGGCTCCTCTGTGAGCAGGTGAGAGCACAGCGCGTCTGCGATGTGTCCAGACAGACCGCATCCACACCCAGGCCAGGTTACTGCCAGCGCGAGGGCAGGATCTCCGCCGGCACTCGCGGGCACTTGCTGCGTTCAAGCCCTGCTTCCTTGATGCAACCCTCACAGCGTCCCTACGAGGAAGGACCGTTCTTGGTCCATAACAAGGATTAAAAGTAGTGTATACAGTACCCAACATGGGCTGAGCACACAGTAGGTGCTCACTGGATGCTCCTAGGACTGTGCCTGTCTCCCAGATCTCCAGTAGCCTCCCCAAGTTCTTCTTCAGGGAAACTCACTCCCCCTGACCAAGGAACAGCAGGAAGTTGGGAGAGGCAGGTGGAGCTCTGGGTGGCCAAGGCCCTGGGCTTGGAAGCCCCACACCCCTCCCTGCTCCATCTATGCCCACGGGCTCCCCAGCCTTTCCTCCATGCGTGGTGCTTTCGTGGTGGCCTCAGGGCCTAGTGGTGACCACCTGGCTCTGCCCCTAGATCCTGAGGGACACCTTTTCTGAGTCCTGCACCCGGATCTCCCAGGATGAGCGGTGGAAAATGAAAGACCTGCTGGGTATGGTCCAGGGACCCTAGAGTCAGGGAACTGGGATGCTGGGGGCTGGGCCTGCCTGGAGGGAGATTACAAACTCTGGGGTCCCTCCCCGTGAGGGAGCCTCAGGACAGTCCGGGGCTGTTCCTGCCTGCAGGAGACCTGGAGGTGGGTCTGGACTCACTGGACACCACTGAGGACAGTGTCAAGAAGCGTATCGTGGTGGCCGCTAGGGACAACTGGGCCAATTACTTCTCCCGCATCTTCCCCGTCTCGGTCAGTGAGGTGGGGGTAGGGCTGGGGATGACAGCGCCCCGTATGGACCGAGGCACACAGCTTGGGCCTTCTGCAGCAGGGATGGGAGTTGGGGGCGGGGGCAGTGGAAAGATAAAGGCATCTTGGATGGTGGAGGGGACCCCACAGCCTGTCTGTGACCTCCACCTTCTGGGCAGGGCGAGAGTGGCAGCAATGTGCAGCTGCTGGGCGTGTCGCACCGGGGCCTGAGGCTGCTCAAGGTGACCCAGGGCCCCAGCATCTACACCCCCCAGCTGAAGACTCTCTGCTCATACAGGTGAGCTTGGGCTTGTGAGGGGATAGGGGGTGAGATGGCCCCCAGCTCATGCCCCCACCCTGTGTGCAGCTTTGCTGAGGTGCTGGGTGTGGAGTGCCTAGGTGACTCCACCCTGGAGCTGACGCTGAAGAGTGAGCAGCTAGTGCTGCACACGGCTGGGGCCCGGGCCGGGGCCATCAAGGCCATGGTGGAGCTCTTCCTGGGCGAGCTCAAGAAGGCAAGCCTG